GCCAACCGCACCAGCATATGGTCTCACAAGGGGTCTGAGGATCTCATCTCGGTACCTAATGGCAGTCAGGCTACCTCTGGCGAGCACATGGAGGGCTGTGCGGCTCCCCCAAAGAAATGCCACCCCACACCATGACTGACCCACCGCCAAACCGGTCATGCTGGAGGATGTTGCAGGCAGCAGAACGTTCTCCACGGCATCTCCAGACTCTGTCACGTCTGTCACGTGCTCAGTGTGAACCTGCTTTCATCTGTGAAGAGCACATGGCGCCAGTGGCGAATTTGCCAATCTTGGTGTTCTCTGGCAAATGCCAAATGTCCTGCACGGTGTTGGGCTGTAAGCACAACCCCCACCTGTGGACGTCGGGCCCTCATACCACCCTCATGGAGTCTGTTTCTGACCGTTTGAGCAGACACATGCACATTTGTGGCCTGCTGGAGGTCGTTTTGCAGGGCTCTGGCAGTGCTCCTCCTGCTCCTACTTGCACAAAGGCGGAGGTAGCAGTCCTGCTGCTGGGTTGTTTCCCTCCTACGGCCTCCTCCACGTCTCCTGATGTACTGGCCTGTCTCCTGGTAGCGCCTCCATGCTCTGGACACTACGCTGACAGACACAGCAAACCTTCTTGCCACAGCTCGCATTGATGTGCCATCCTGGATGAGCTGCACTACCTGAGCCACTTGTGTGGGTTGTAGACTCCGTCTCATGCTACCACTAGAGTGAAAGCACCGCCAGCATTCAAAAGTGACCAAAACATCAGCCAGGAAGCATAGGAACTGAGAAGTGGTCTGTGGTCACCACCTGCAAAACCAGTCCTTTATTGGGGGTGTCTTGCTAATTGATTATAATTTCCACCTGTTGTCTATTACATTTGCACAACAGCATGTGAAATGTATTGTCAATCAGTGTTGCTTCCTAAGTGGACAGTTTGATTTCACAGAAGTGTGATTGACTTGGAGTTACATTGTGTTGTTTAAGTGTACCCTTTATTTTTTTGAGCAGTGTATTATCAATTTTGCGTAAGGCTAACTCAGTATAGTCTACTGAGTTTAGTAATGACATCAGAGTGTAATGAATTAAATTCCAATCGCTTTAAGGCGCTCATGATTCTTTTGTCAATCTCACATAGTCAATCAGTACTATAGCGGTCGGATCTCATTATTGACCCATTTGGAGAGAAAGGGTACATGAGTCACACGGCATATCTCTAAGAGTGGGGGTGAAAAACGCTCATCCAGCTAGCGAGCCCATCTAGTCCACATGCTGTGTTTTCTCACACGTGTTATGATGTCATAGGCAGAGACTTCCTGAACTCAGAGTGCATTTACAGAGTCCTCCTCCAGCGGCAACTCCAGCCACCAAAATGAGGCTTCAAACATGCTGTCTCCTGGCAACAGGGCTTACAGGGCTATAGTGAAGCCCTTTGTTGTTATTTGTTTGAGGGAAGGGTGGGGTTATGTGTGTGTGTGTGTGTGTGTGTGTGTGTGTGTGAGTGCGTGCGTGCGTTTTTAACTATAGTTGTGGGGACCAGAAATCCCCACAAGAATAGTAAACAAACCTCAATTTAACCAACTGGGGACACTTTGTTAGTCCCCACAAGGTCAAATGCTATTTCTAGGGGGGTTAGGGTTAGAATTAGAAACTAGGGTTAGGAGCTAGGGTTAGGTTTAGGGCTAAGGTTAGGGTTAGGGGTTAGGGAAAATAGGATTTTGAATGGGACTGAATTGTGTGTCCCCACAAGGTTAGTTATACAATAAAGTGTGTGTGTGTGTGAGGTGTCACTGAGTTTGTCTAATAGGTGAAGCTGTGGTAAAAATGTACACAAAGAAAGGATAACAGAAACGGTAACCTCATTGATGTGCCAGGCAGGAGGAGAGGGGGAGAGGAGAGGAAAGGAAGGAGAGAGGGTTGGGCCTAGGTTAAGATATTTCTTCAACCTACTGTAGTATGAGTCACAGATTTTTAGGGTCTGCTGATTTCTATGTTCCCCTCACGGTCTAAAGAGAGACATCAGTGACTATTACCTAGCTAGCCAACAACCAATAGAGGAAGCAAACATAAGAAAAATAATGAAACTGATGTTAAACTGATGTTCTGGAATTGCAGAAAAACTGTACACAAAAATGACAAGAACTGTAGAATTCTTTGTTTGTGATTTATTGCTAGTTTAAAAATACAAGTTTTGCCTGGAAAAATAGAGATGAAAATGCCAGAGTTTTAAGGAAACATATATCTGATATATAACAGAAAACGTACAGTACGGATCGTCAAGCTGCATAAAGACTATGGGGAATATGATTGCCTTCACTCAAGATGCACAGATTTGTTTATAAACCTTGTAAGACATCTGAAACAAAAATATAATCTGTTTCTCTAAAGCAAACGTTATTTCAACATCACTTTGAACATAAACAGAGTATAATGCTAAGTTTTGACAGCTATATATGGCTTTTTGCATATTACTAAGACACTGGATTAACAAAACTAATGAAAAGACAGAAAACAACTGATGCAGTTCATAAAACACATTTTTCTACTATACGCTATAACTACAAATAAAAAAAGAGGACTACCAGAAGCATTTATACAGTTGTAAGCAATTATCTATTTACAATTAAGGGGGGAAAAAGCTGTTAAGTTTACATTCAGGATATTTCAAACATACTGTTTTCAGTACATTGAGAGAATGGCTCAATTAAAAAAGTTAGATATATTAGCTATTAACTATTACTATCTATAACTTTTCATTGCACATAAAAAAAATGAATATAAAATCTGTTGTATGAAATTAGTTAAAATGACATATTGAGCAGGCAGATTCAGTCTCTGGATCATTAACGTTTAAATCTTTGTACATGGTCAGGTTTACACTTTTTAAACAATTTGTAAAGCGTATTTTGTGGGGTGGGGGGGAGGGACGACGACGACATTGAACATATTTTATTTGATATGTAACAAAACACCTACTTTCTGCACCAATCTAAGCTATCCCCTCTTACAATATAAAAGCACTTTGAGCACTTGGGAAAGTGGTAGTCTATATACATGCAGTACATCATATTGATTATTATGCAACACCGATCATTTAGCTCCAAAAAGCCTTTTCATGTTTGAATGTACATCAAATACACATATAATGACAGTGACACTGAACAAAGAAAGCATAGCTCATCTTAGAAATGTGGGATGATCTTGGAAATGTAAGGCACAGTATGTAAAGTACAAGTAAGAATATCTGCATATATAGCATGTTGTTCATTGTCATTACGGAAAAACTCAATTATATTAATTACACCCAATAGAAATAGGTAGGTTATAATATGTTATACACATATTATGAACATTTTGCTCTCTGTTGTAACCAAACATGCCACAGATTTGGATAAATGTTACAATCAAATAGGCTACTACTAAATTGGGCACCCATGAGCAAGCATAGAAAGACTATCCCTTTTAAGACCTGAATGTAGTCAAATGCATTGTAGGCATGCAACACTCAAAAAAATTGCCTGCTTAGACATCTTCAGAACCTGCTAATTTTGTAATTTGTAATTGCATTTCCCACTGATATTTTCCTGTGTAAGGATTTAGCATATCATTATTTGAATGTAAGCCTTTTGAGGCTAATTCAATATCCAATAATTCATTGAGAAAGGAGAAATATTTTTTTCTCTAAGCAGTATCATCTCTGGCCCAGATGACGCCTCTGGCAAATCAACTGCTTATACTGTAATAGACATTTTAGTTACATTAAGTTCATCACATGACCCAAACACAATTAGGAAAACATTTAAACAATGGAATAAAGACAACACACCATGTAGGAATACACATACATAAAGATTCCCCTACTAAACAGTGCATATAACACTCAAATTCAAATAACTTTTATTTCCTGGGAGGGAACATCATTTGTGGTGACGAATTGATACATAACAACATAGAACACAAAAACATGTAGGCAAGAAAAACAAAAATATGGAGAGGTGAAATTACAAGCCAATATTTATTTGGTTATTAGCATGGCAGTGTTCGTCTCCTTTAGAGTAGCGAGATGATCAAAGTAAGCTCAAATTGCATAACACAATACACATATCACAGTGAAGTGTTGACATGTTGGCATATTTTATTAATGGTGTCATTGGTAGAAGTGTCAACAAGATGGGTAAGAGAGTTACAATTATTTGAAAGGTTTGCATATAGGCAGTGGTGTAAAGTACTTAAGTAAAAAATACCTTAAAGTACTACTTAAGTCGTTTTGGGGGGGTATCTGTACTTTACTATTTATATTTTTGACAACTTTTACTTTTACTTCACTACATTTGTAAAGAAAATAATGTACTTTTTACGACATACATTTTCCCAGACACCCAAAAGTACTTGCTACATTTTGAATGCTTAGCAGGACAGGAAAATTGTCCAATTCACACACTTATCAAGAGACTCACACATGCTGTAAATGATGTCTGAGTGTTGGAGTGTGCCTCTGGCTAACCATAAATAAAATAAAAAAACAAGAAAATGGTGCCATCTGGATTGCTTAATATAAGGAATTTGAAATTATTTATACTTTTACTTTTGATACTTAAGCATATTTTAGCAATTACATTTACTTTTGATGCTTAAGTATATTTAAAATCAAATACTTTTAGACTTTTACTCAAGTAATATTTTACTGGGTGACTTTCACTTTTACTTGAGTGATTTTATATTAAGGTACAGTATCTTTACCTTTACTTAAGTATGACATGGGTACTTTTTCCACCATTGGTTTAACACCAAGTATTGTTACAGCTACTGCCATGATTGTGACTTGTTTCTGAATTTTCACCCTCTCTTATTCATTGTACAAAAAAACATCCCTTTGAATCCCATAAACCTAAGTAGTAATAAAACAAGGCACAATCTAGTTTCTGTTGGGCCTGAAAACTAAGAAGATTGTCTTTGGCAGAACATTCTTTGGCATTGGGTAAAAGGCAGAGAATATTTTAGCTGAGAAACAGTTATTTGAAGGAAACGGGCAGAGCAGCCAAACTGCTGGTGGCTGGGGTTGATATAGGGTTGCTATGGAGATGGGCACACAGGGAAGAGGAAGAGGTTCTCATGGCGACGAAGAGTGAGCTGCAGCTGTCCACTTCCTGTTTCCTGTCGTCTAAGTCTGACCTCTGGCCTGCACGCCGGTCAGATCCTTCCTTATAATCTCGTTTACTGCCGGGAGGAGAAGAGAAACAAGTACAGGCTGTTAGTTAATCAGAGCATCAAAAGTGTTTGATGTAATACTGTACTGTCGTCTGTTCTTCCCAGGCAGCATTTCACAGCTCCAGGGAGGGCAATTTTCACTTCTGGCCTTTTCATATCTTCCTTTCTCTTTCAACAAACACTTACAAAAGGTACAGTATATTACACAGTAGAAAAGGGCATAACATCTTGACAAAAACATACTGATCCTACAGTAAAACATCACCAAGGGAAACATAACACTAAGAACTGCTGATTACTCTGTGTGCAAGTTGGCTGTAGTAGCGATACCAGAAGATGTCACTACAGTGAGCTGCATTGGCACAGAGTGTCCACTAGGTGGACCTTAGTGTTCCATTTCTACAGCTCTTTTTATATCCCCATCACTTCCTGTTGTTCTTCTGACAGCCAGGTGACACAGCACAGCGGGTATAAATGGAAACTTTTACAGCTTCAGCGTTCTAAAAATAGACTCAGTCAAGGTGTGTGGAGTGCTTACACAGTGCACACACCACGTCATGTATAAGGTGGGGGAAACACGTTTTAGACACATTGTGATGAGATTAAACCTGTCCAAAGTTAAAATGTCAAGGAGTTCTTGTCTGGGACCTCTGTGATAAGGCTAAATATAGACTGTATTAAATTAAATTCAAATTACCATCATGAAGTAATTCAGATATATTACTATTTGAAAAGTCTACATACATTGAATGTAGGGTTTCCTGTTTAGCTTTCCATGATCCGTGTTTTAATGTATGGGGACTATAACAACATATGTATAGGCCTATTGTGAATGATAAAAAATGATGCCTATACTGGCAAGGTGTCAAACGGAATAATGTCTCTCATTCATTACTAGAGCCAGATGTTTACATGAAAATTAACAGTGATTATATGACCTCACAAAAGCAATGAGAGTGCTACTGTAGCCATAACTTACACTGCAACAGACGATGGGGGAAACCTGCAGTAAGCTTAAAGGAATGTCCAGTATGTTGAACATGTACTGCACTGTAGTCTGTCCACATCATCCGTACTGCAGACGGTCTGTCTTTATCAGTAACTAACAGCTCCAACAGGCCTGGAAGCACACTGTGTATACTGGCACTATGACATAAGAGCCTATGGTTTCTTGTTGTGACTTTTAGGGAACACATACATTTTAAGACATGCCCAAAATGGAGGGAATGTGAAAAAAAGTGTGAGAATGACAATGACATCAATTGAGTCAAAATGCCTTTTATTCATTGATGTAGTATATAAAAGCTAACCATATTCATGTTTACGTGCTGCATACTATAGCAGCATGTTTTAAACATTCACAGGGAGGTTGTGTCTCACTTAATACAGTAGTTTCACAGAGCAAACTCTGCTGATATGAAGCATCCTAAAATATATTAAAATATGATCAATCTTTTCACTTCAAAGGGATGAATGAGTTAAGATAGAATGAGTGAGATAGTAAGCAGCACCATGGTATGTATTGTGTGTTGTTTTAGAGTCTGGTTTAGGGGAACTCAATATCCAACAGGCTTTTAGGAGGCCTATTTAAAGGTCCAATGCAGCTGTTTTTATCTCAATATCAAATAATTTCCAGGTAACAATTACGTACCTTACTGTAATTATTTTAAATTAAAATGGTCAAAAAGAAACAAAAATAGCTTCTTAGCAAAGAGGAATTTCTCAAGCAAGAATTTTGCTAGGACAGTATGGGAGTGGTGTGACTTGGGAGGGCAAAACTGAAAACTTGCTATTATTGGCAGAGAGGTTTGGAACTCTCTTTCTTAATGGTCTATTAACTCATTTAAGGATCTATATTGTGGGACAAGGGAAATGGTGTCACCTTTAAACAGCAAGTTAAGCGAACAGACACACTGATCCATGGCTGAGCATTATATATACTATTTATGTGTGTACCAAAGTAACCCCCTCAGAGATGGACATAACAGCCCTCACCCCAAACATCTCCAGTTCAACAGATACAAAGATGCAGAGGGATACTCAGTGAAACTGCTATCCACTAATACTGGCACCCTGTTTTTTAGGTACAGTTGGAATGAGATAAAACATTCTAAGTTATTGCAAGTCACTGAGTTATTTATCAGATGTGGGAGTTAGAAAGTATTTTGCCTGATAAACAACCCATAAACTGAGCTAAACCATTGGCAGCTCAGCAAGCTGCAGACCTTTTTCTATCATTAAGAGTAGCAGCAAGTCTATCCTCCTCCTCCTTTTGACTCCCTCTGTCTCTGATCATCTGCAGATGTGAAAGAGAAATAAACCTTGGCCTTTTATAACAGCTCAAAACCAAGCACACTCTATAGAGCAGAGCAGAGCAGAGCTGCATCTGAAACAGGGAGGGAGGCAAACCAACTAGTGGCCAAACAGGTCCGGGTGCTCCAGCTCTCTCTGCTGTCGTCAAAACCACAATCTAAACGTCCATATTTATTTTAGTCTCTAGTGGAATTCCCTTTGACACCTAATGCCTTAAATAAACGTTCATCTCCCCAATGGTGCCACAGGATTTTCCTGAGTATAAAAAAGGGGTTTAGAGAGGCGAGTGGTGCTCCAGAGCAGTTATACAGTAGAGAGCTTTAACGGAGCCTCATGAAGGGTTGGCATGGCCATTTGCGGCTGGCCCAGGGAACACTCAGACTTGACCATACAATAGGTGAGTGTCTGCCTTTAGCGTCCTGCACCAATGAACGTGTTTGTTTACCAACCAGCGGTGGGAGAGAGAGAGACACACACTCATACACACACAGTACAGTACTGTAGCTGATTCAGTCACTTCACATTGCCTACTGTGAGGTGGTGGAGTAATGTGTGTGTGTGTCTGAGAGGTGTTGCCTGGGGGACTCTGTTGGCAACATGACAAGAATCAACCCACAGAGCAAGTGGCATGGGTAGACAGACAGACAGACAGACAGACAGACACCAGACCTGACCACCAGACCTGACCACTAGACCTGACCACTAGATCTTCTACCTTCAACTGCCAGAGAGCAAATAAAGTATATGATGTTATACAAGTTTCCATTACACTTGAGTATCAATCATAGCCATTCAAAAGTGTTGCTATAGTTGCCTTTCCTCTGCTCGCTGGTAAGTGGGACATCAGTGACCTGAAACTAATGTGTGTTCAACAAGCTGTTTTCCTGTGTGCTTTATCTCTGAACGGGAGCTCTCTCTCTCTCCTTCTGCCCGCTGGAATAATTTCACCTGCTCTACTGCCTTCACCTGCTCCACTGCCTCTGGGGTTAATTCCAGTCAGTTTCACTACAGCTACAACATGGAAAGCTGCAGGTAATAGAGTGTGTCCCGACTCCCATCCTTCACAAGGAAATCACTTTCTAGGTTGTAGACAGCACCCTTACAGTATAAGAACGTTGTAGGCCTATATACACACAAAGACCCTAGCTTCTGATAAAGGCCTTTTGAGTACAGTATGAACTGTGAAGCCCATTCCATGTTTTGGTTTTACTCATAGTGAAATACATTACTTTCTTCTGTTGTCCTTTACCTCGGTGATGCCACAGAGAGCAGCGCTACCCCGATGACACTTTTCAAAATGAGCAAAGTGTGAAAGGTACTCAAGAGTGACTCATTTGATAATTGTATTTCTCGGAAAAGATAGTTCTGATGTTGAAATAAATGAATGTTTTGGGCATAAAACACAACTTGACATCTTAGTAGAGAAAGACCAATGGGGCTTTCTGCATTGCTCTGTCTTCCTGTGCTGTGTTTGAACTTTGAAGAGAAGGTTTGAAGGTGAGGTGAGGAGGCATGTCCTATCCCACTTCTACAGCGACAGTACATAACTACCACTTGTATTGGGTGGGTGGATTCACACCCTATACAACATAACTGACAAATGTTTCTGAGTAAAAAGATTATTCTGATGCTCTGTCTCAAAGTGCACCTATAGCTGTACCTTTTTGAAATATGATATAGGGTGTCCTCCCACTCTGCCTAGAGTGGCTGAAAATGTGCTAGGGTGATGAAATCTCACTTCCTTATGTTATAAAATACATTTTACCAAGGCAAATATGATTATTCATGTATTTCTCTAACAAAAGTATTCATCCCCCTTGGCGTTTTTCCTATTTTGTTGCATTACAACCTGTAATTTAAATGGATTTTTATTTTTATTTCATGTAATGGACATACACAAAATAGTACAAATTGGAGAAGTGAAATGAAAAAATAAAATAACGGAAAAGTGGTGCGTGCGTATGTATTCACCCACTTTGCTATGAAGCCGCTAAATAAGATCTGGTGCAACCAATTACCTTCAGAAGTCACATAATTAGGTAAATAAAGTCCACCTGTGTGCAATCTAAGTGTCACATGATCAGTCACATTATCTCAGTATATATAAACCTGTTCTGAAAGGCCCCAGAGTCTGCACCATTTAAATCCATTATAAAAAATTTGAAAGAATATGGCACCACAACAAACCTGCCAAGAGAGGGCCGCCCACCAAAACTCACGGACCAGGCAAGCAAGTCATTAATCAGAGAGGCAACAAAGAGACCAAAGATAACCCTGAAGGAGCTGCAAAGCTCCACAGCGGAGATTGGAGTATCTGTCCATAGGACCACTTTAAGCCGTACACTCCACAGAGCTGGGCTTTATGGAAGAGTGGCCAGAAAAAAGATATTGCTTAAAGAAAGAAATAGGCAAACACGTTTGGTGTTCGCCAAAAGGCATGTGGGAGACTCCCCAAACATATGGAAGAAGGTACTCTGGTCAGATGAGACTAAAATTGAGCTTTTTGGCCATCAAGGAAAACACTATGTCTAGCACAAACCCAACACCTCTCATCACCCGGAGAACACCATCCCCACAGTGAAGCATGGTGGTGGCAACATCATGCTGTGGGATGTTTTTTATCGGCAGGGACTGGGAAACTGTTCAGAATTGAAGGAATGATGGATGGCGCTAAATACAGGGAAATTCTTGAGGAACCTGCTTCAGACTTCCAGAGATTTGAGACTGGGACGGAGGTTAACCTTCCAGCAGGACAATGACCCTAAGCATACTGCTAAAGCAACACTTGAGTGGTTTAAGGGAAACATTTAAATGCATTGGAATGGCCTAGTCAAAGCCCAGACCTCAATCCAATTGAGAATCTGTGGTATGACTTAAAGATTGCTGTACACCAGCGGAACCCATCCAACTTGAAGGAGCTGGAGCAGTTTTGCCTTAAAGAATGGGCAAAATTCCCAGTGGCTAGCCAAGCTTATTGAGACAAACCCCAAGAGACTTGCAGCTGTAATTGCTGCAAAAGGTGGCTCTACAAAGTATTGACTTTGGGGGGGGGGGGGGTGAATAGTTATGCACACTCAAGTTTTCTGTTTTTTTGTCTTATTTCTTGTTTGTTTCACAAAAAAAATATTTTGCATCTTCAAAGTGGTAGGCATGTTGTGTAAATCAAATGATACAACCCCCCCAAAAATCAATTTTAATTCCAGGTTGTAAGGCAACAAAATAGGAAAAATGCCAAGGGGGGTGAATACTTTCACAAGCCACTGTATCATTAACATTATATCCAAAAAGTTTGATTGCGTTACGCAATCGATAATACATACGATAATAAGCACGAGCTCTGTTGACATCGCGGTGCAGGTTTCTTATAACAACTTTTGAGGATTTAACATTTTGTGGTTGTCGTCTTCAAAGTTGTTTCAGCGGGTCGCAAAAAGCTAAATTAGCATGACACGAGCTGAATTAAATGTAAAAGGTTTTGGAGAAAAAAAAGCTTGGTATTCCCTGTGCTCCATTGACATTTCACAGAGATACGCTTGTTTTTGTGAGAAACCATTGGCAGCTCAGCAAGCTGCAGACCTAATTTCAAATTAATATAAAAAGCGTATACTAAAATATGAAAATACTACATGTCATGTCTCAAAATCAATATCCAACTTAACTTTATATTGTTTTATGTCCTGTGGATTTGAGAAGAAAGAGGACGAGGTCAATGGGAAAGTGATCCTGTCAGGTAGCCAGTAGCCTTATTTCTAGCACAGAATCCAGCCTAACTGACCCAATGCAATTTTCCTTATTTTTGACCCCTCTTTTTCTCTGGCCTCCATTGATTTAGTCACCCTAATTCTGGCCATCCTACAAGGGTAAACACTCCAATAACGTTTGAACCGATTATGATCCAGACATGAGGTTTGGACCATTGGTTTTCTCAGAGGACTATCTAAACAATTAACTTTGTTTTACCCATTGGTCAAAAGATGCGTTTTGATTCTCAATATTCTCAATATTATATCAATGATTATGTTGTCTTTATTGTTTTATAAGCTTTACATAATGTGTTCTGAATTTATAATTTACAATGCTTTGGGATTAAAGAGGGCACTTAAATTCAGTACTTGTGAATTCCCCAATTAATATGTTTTATGAGATTTCCAGGGAGATGGTGAATTGTTCTAGTAGCTACCAGAATAGAGGGAAGGCATTACATGGAAGGATCTTGGTAGGGAGCTCTGAGATCAACACAATGTTAGGGAGGAGGATCAAACACAGTCCATCCAGTATGACTCTCCCAGTTAGTCTGTGTTAATTCAGAAACAGTAAACGCTGTTGCTGTTTACTGAGGGAAACCCTATTAGGCCATCCAAAACTAAATTCCACTCGTTCACTCCTGGCCCCTTTTTCTCAGTTTCATTTTTTCCATCCGAACTCGGCCGCTTCCCTCTTCCTGCTGCTGCCTTTCTCCCGACTCCCACACTTAGAGCTATCTTACGGAGATCAGGCTGGATTTTCTGGAAGAGAGCAGCTGCAAATAGGAATTTCTTGTGCCAGATTGGCAGAATCCTGGGCAGGAGATGGAAAAAAGCAAATCCTCCAGTGGGTTCCCCCACAGAATTGAGGGGTGTGGGGCCAAAGAGAAACCCTGGCCAAGTACAACAAACAAAGAGGCTTTCCCCGGCTCTCCGAGGCAGCCCGTTCCACTGTTTGACAATGGTTGCCATGGAACTTGTTTTTCAGATCATAACAGTGTCAACATATCCAGGCGATTGGTCAGGAGAGCTGGCGGCTTCCTTTTTCTCTCTTTTTATTTCAGAGGATGAAACAGAAAAAAGTCTAATTTCATGGTGTGTGGCGATGCCAGGGAAACCAATCTCTCTCTCTGACTGGGTTGTCCTTCAGACCACAGATCACCAGGGTTACAACCGTTCAACATGGTCTGGGACTTGCCCTGACACTGACGAGGACTAGCTACCTCTCCATCCCAATACAGAGAGGACTAGCTACCTCTCCATCCCAATACAGAGAGGACTAGCTACCTACTTCTCCATCCCAACCAGAGGTTTAAAAGGACACCATCATCATCAGGTCTGGCGATCACACTGCAACAACATGTCGTTTGGATTGGAAGAGGATCAACATAATGAAGGGGTGTAAGACCATGACTTCTGGATGTGGTCTGTTTTTCTGATCTCACTGGGTAATAATATTAATAATGAGGCTGACACGGGTTCAGTATAAATATATGACTCATAATCCATGTTATTTCCACCTTGAGTGGAAAACTTAAGAGGAACATACGTAACTACATTTCCTGGCCATTTCCTATTGGGGGGGGTAGACAAGATTCGGAAACGGTAGTCACTGCAGCCTAAGTTCATTTAACTCATGCCTGTTTGCAAAACAAAATAGACCATTGTGAACAGAGCGCACATTACTTTGTAGGCTACTGCATGACAACGGGTGTGTGAGACAGAGAGAAGACGAGAGGGGTGTTGTAATTCAATTAGTAAACACAAGATTGTGGCTATTAAAACTGAGCACAAATGGACAGCTATGCGATCCATTGTAGAGAAAAGCGCTCAATCACGCAGCCGCCACTCGCTGGGCCGCACCCAATACTGTGTTGCTTGCTAGATAGTGGGCTAGTACGCATACATGTTTGACATGGGCAGGAGCAGGCCTGCGAGTCGAGGGCGAGAGAATGCCATGTTCCTTATTTAATATTGTTTTCATTCCCTTCTCGCCAACTTTAGAATTGTAAACTAATAGAAAATAGAAGTGGAAGACTATTTGCGAGCACTGCTCCAGATCACTTGATATTCACCACATTAGTCAAAACAGGAACATATTACATCTGGCTAGAAATTAATAAGGACATTATCTCAACAGAGAAAAATGTCCTCATGTGTGTTTCCCCCCTGTATATAGCCTCCCTACTGTTATTTTATTTTACTTCTGCTCTTTTTTCTCAACACTTTTTTGTTGTTGTTGTTTTATTTTACTTTTTTATTTAAAAATAAATGCATTGTTGGTTAAGGGCTGTAAGTAAGCATTTCACGGTAATGTCTACACCTGTTGTATTCGGCGCATGTGGCAAATAAAATGTGATTTGATATATCCCCCCAATAGAATCCCCATACTTTAACGATGACAGCTTCTCCATCCTAGAAGGGGAGATCAACCATTTCCAGGCCCAGGGACATGTACTAGTCTGTGGCGACCTAAATGCCAGAACTGGACAAGAACCTAACACTCTCAGCACACAGGGGGACAAACACCTACCTGGAGGTGACAGTATTCCCTCCCAAATATGCCCCCCTAGACACAACTATGACAAAACAACCAACAAAAACGGGTCACAACTCCTGAAGCTCAGTCGCATGCTGGGTCTGTACATAGTCCATGGTAGGCTTTGAGGAGACTGCTATGGTAGGTACATACACCTACAGCTCATCCCATGGCAGTAGTACTGTAGATTACTTTATCACTGACCTCAACCCAGAGTCTCTCAGAGCATTCACAGTCAGCCCACTGACACCCCTATCAGATCACAGCAAAATCAGAGTCTACTTGAACAGAGCAATACTCAATCATGAGGCATCAAAGCCAAAGGAACTACACAATATTAAGAAATGCTAGAGATGGAAGGAAAGTAGTGTAGAAACCTACCAAAAAACAATTAGGCAACAAATTCAATCCCTTTTAGACAACTTCCTGGACAAAACATTTCACTGTAATATTGAAGGTGTAAACTTGGCAGTAGAAAGCCTAAACAGTATATTTAACCTTTCAGCTTGCCTATCAAATCAAACAATTTCAAGCAGACAACCTAAGAAAATTAAAAACAATGGCAAATGGTTTGATGAAGAATTCAAAAACTTAAGAAAGAAATTGAGAAACCTACCCAACCAAAAAACATAGAGACCCAGAAGTCTACTTCTTCACTATGGTGATTCACTAAAACAATACAGAAATACACTACGGAAAAAGAAATCAGCTCAATGTAATTTAATAATCTATAGAATCTTACCACTTCTGGGAAAATTGGAACACACTAAACAAACAACAACATGAAGAGTTATCTATCCAAATGGAGATGTATGGATAAACCGCCTCTCCATTCTTTTTGGCTCTATAACAAAGAACAAACAGCAAAAACATAGAAATGATCAATTATAAGTCTTAGAATCAGCTATCAAAGACTACTAGAACACAATGGATTTTCCAATTACATTGAATGAACTACAGGACAAAATACAAACCCTCCAATCCAAAAAGCTCTGGCATCTTCCCCAATATTTGGAACCAAAGACTGATCACAATTTGACCCCAATAACTACCGTGGGATATGCGTCAACAGCAACCTTGGTAAAATCCTTTGCATTATCATTGACAGCAGACTCGCACATTTCCTCATCGAAAACAATGAACAACTGAGCAAATGTCAAATTGGCTTTTTACCAAATGACCATACGACAGACCACGTATTCACCCTGCACACCCTAATTGGCAAACAAACAAACCAAAACAAAAGCAAAGTCTTCTCATGCTTTGTTGATTTCAAAAAAGCTTTTGACTCAATTTGGCATGAGGGTCTGCTATACAAATTGATGGAAAGCGGCGTTGGGGGAATAAAACATTATAAAATCCAACAAGTGTGCGGTTAGAATTGGCAAAAAACACACCCATTTATTACCACAGGGCCGTGGGGTGAGACAGGGATGCAGCTTGAGCCCCACCCTCTACAACATATATATGAACGAATTGGTGAGGGCACTAGAACAGCCTGCAGCACCAGGCCTCACCCATGTCTACTGTTTGCTGATGATCTGGTACTTCTGTCCCCAAACAAGGAGGGCCTACAGCAGCACCTATATCTTCTGCATAGATTCTGTCAGACCTGGGCCCTGACAGTAAATCTCAGTAAGACAAAAATAATGGTGTTCCAAAAAAGGTCCAGTTGCCAGGACCGCAAATACAAATTCCATCTAGACACCGTTGCGCACAAAAAACGATACCTACCTCGGCCTAAACATCAGCACCACAGGTAACTTCAACAAAGTTGTGAACGATCTGAGAGACAAGGCAAGAAGGGCCTTCTACGCCATCAAAAGGAACATAACATTTGACATCCATATTAGGATCAGTTAGTTGAATCAGTTATAGAACCCATTGCCCTTTATGGTCTGGGGTTTACTCACCAACCAAGAAGCCGTTAAATTCTACAATCACCTAAAAGGAAGCGATTCCCAAACCTTCAATAACAAAACCATCACCTACAGAGAGATTAAGCTAGAGAAGAGTCCCCTAAGCAGGCTGGTCCTGGGGCTCTGTTCACAAACACAAACAGACCCCACAGAGCACCAGGACAGCAACAGCAACACAATTAGACCCAACAAAAACATGAAAAAACAAAAAGATAATTACTTGACACATTGGAAAGAATTTACCAAAAAACTGAGCAAACTGGAATTATATTTGGCCCTAAGTAGACAGTGGCAGAATACCTGACCACTTTGACTGACACAAAATTAACGAAAGCTTTAACTATGTACACTCAGTGAGCATAGCCATGCTATTGAGAGAGGCCGCCGTAGGCAGACCTGGCTCTCAAGAGAAGACAGGCTATGTGCACACTGCCCACAAAATGAGGTGGAAACTGAGCTGCACTTCCTAACCTCCTGCCAAATGTATGACCATATTAGAGACACATATTTCCCTCAGATTACACAGACCCACAAAGAATTTGAAAACAACTCCCATATCTATTGGGTGAAATACCACAGTGTGCCATCACAGCAGCAAGATTTGTGACCTGTTGCCACAAGAAAAGGGCAACCAGTGAAGAACAAACACCATTGTAAATACAAGCCATATTTATGTTTATTTATTTGCACATCGTTATAACACTCTACATAGCAATAATATGACATTTGAAATGTCTCTATTCCTTTGGAACTTTTGTGAGTGTAATGTTTACTGTTCATTTTTGATTGTTTATTTCACTTTTGTTTATTATCTATTTCACTTGCTTTGGCAATGTAAAGATATGTTCGCCATTACATTTTTACATTTACGTCATTTAGCAGACACTCTTATCCAGAGCGACTTACAAATTGGTGCATTCACCTTATAGCCAGTGGGATAACCACTTTACAATATGTTATTTTTTTTGGGGGGAAGAGGGGGTAGGAAAGGATTACTTTATCCTATCCCAGGTATTCCTTAAAGAGGTGGGGTTTCAAGTGTCTCCGCCATGCCAATAAAACCCTCACATTTAATTGAGAGAGAGAAGAGAGAGAAGAGGGGCAGGGTGGCGTGTCCAATAGTAAAAAAGTTAATTGAATTAAATTACCTAAATTATATAATTACTCCTGTCTATACAATCATTCAAAATAGGCTAGTACACCAGCAAGCATGATTTGGCGGCAGATGATCATTCGCTTCTTTAAAAAAAAAAAAAATGTTTTCAATCACAAGCGCATAGCCTACAGTTGGAAGGCCCACAATTTGGGCAGCGCTGGCGGCAAATACCAAATAAATGATTGTTGAGTTGCGATTATCAGTGAATAGCAGCTAAAATAGGCCCAGGTATATCGCAATATTTCAAAATACAATTGCGGGAAAACATAGTTTGGAAAGCAATACTAATCTGTCTTTTAGTTATCAAAATTCTCAATTTGAGCGAATAGTTGCATTTACATTTACATTTACATCATTTAGCAGACGCTCTTATCCAGAGCGACTTACAAATTGCATCATATTGGCACCAGTGGAGAGCATCATCCTTATCCCCAGTGAGTGTGCATATTCACTCTTTATCATTGGGTCAGTGAGTGCCATTTGAAACTTTGTCTTTGGACAATAATTTCCTCCTCCAGGTTAGATAGACGTCATATTGTACAATTAGTGTCTCCCCTTTTCGTAGGGCTAGATTAGATGGTTGCATACAAGACATACACTACCGGTCAAAAGTTTTAGAACACCTACTCATTCAAGGGTTTTTCTTTATTTTTACTATTTTCTACATTGTAGAATAATAGTGAAGACATCAAAACTATGAAATAACACATATGGAATCATGTATTAACCAAAAAAGTGTAAACAAATCAAAATATATTTTATACTTGAGATTCTTCAAATAGCCACGCTTTCCTTTGATGACAGCTTTGCACACTCTTGGCATTCTCTCAACCAGCTTCATGAGGTAGTCACCTGGAATGCATTTTAATTAACAGGAATTTATTTACTTCTTAATGCGTTTGAGCCAATCAGTTGTGTTGTGATAAGGTAGGGGGGTATACAGAATATGTTATGGCAAGAACAGCTCAAATAAGCAAACAGAAACGACAGTCCATCATCACTTTAAGACATGAAAGTCAGTCAATTCATAACATTTCAAGAACTTTGAAAGTTTATTTAAGTGCAGTCGCAAAAACCATCAAGCGCTATGATGAAACTGGCTCTCATGAGGACTGCCAGAGGAATGGAAGACCCAGAGTTACCTCTGCTGCAGAGGATAAGTTCATTAGAGTTACCAGCCTCAGAAATTGCAGCACAAATAAATGCTTCACAGAGTTCAAGTAATAGACAAATATCAACATCAACTGTTAAGAGGAGACTGTGTGAATCAGGCCTTCATGGTCGAATTGCTGCAAAGAAACCACTACTAAAGGACACCAATAAGAAGAAGATACTTGCTTGGGCCAAGAAACACGAGCAATGGACATTAGACTGGTGGAAATTTGTCCTTTGGTCTGGAGTCCAAATTGGAGATTTTTGGTTCCAACCGCCATGTCTTTGTGAGACGTGGTGTTGGTGAACGGATGATCTCCATGTGTATTTCCCACCGTAAAGCATGGAGGAGGAGGTGTTATGGTGTGGGGGTGCTTTGCTGGTGACACTGTCTGTGATTTATTTAGAATTCAAGGCACACTTAACCAGCATGGCTACCACAGCATTCTGCAGCGATACCCCATCCCATCTGGTTTGGGCTTAGTGGGACTATCATTTGTTTTTCAACAGGACAATGACACAACACACCTCCAGGCTGTGTAAGGGCTATTTTACCAAGAAGGAGAGTGATGGAGTGCTGCATCAGATGACCTGGCCTCCACAATCCCCTGACCTCAACCAAATTGAGATGGTTTGGGATGAGTCGGACCACGGAGTGAAGGAAAAGCAGCCAACAAGTGCTCAGCATATGTGGGAACTCCTTCAATACTGTTGGAAAAGCATTCCAGGTGAAGTTGGTTGAGAGAATGCCAAGAGTGTACAAAGCTGTCATCAAGGCAAAGGGTGGCTATTTGAAGAATCTCAAATATAAAATATATTTTGATTTGTTTACACTTTTTTGGTTAATACATGATTCCATATGTGTTATTTCATAGTTTTGATGTCTTCACTATTATTCTACAATGTAGAAAATAGTAAAAATAAAGAAAAACCCTTGAATGAGTAGGTTTTGTAAAACTTTTGACCGGTAGTTTAGCTGCGGGAATTTGTTTTGAGTAGGGGGTGCTGACCGATCACCTTTATAATAAAGCAATGCATGCATCTATGCAGACTAACAAAATCAAATTCCTAATGTGATGACTAGCCTAAGCATAGGACAATATTTGGTAACAGCATCACTGCAGCCTAAGTTCATTTAACTAATGGCTGTTTGCAAAAAAGCATGTTGTGAACAGCACACACATTTCTTTGTAGGCTACTGCATAATTTACAACGAGAGAGAGAGAGAGAGAGAGAGAGAGAGAGAGAGAGAGATTATTCCCAAAGTTTAGATGTGTTAACAAAGACAAAATACTCTTGGTCATATATATTTTAATATCCCGTGTTTTTTCTCTCCTCTACCCCCAATTTAATCACAGTAAAACATTGTTTGGAAAGCAAATTGCTATTGCTGTAAAGAGAAGACAATAAAAATACTCTAATCTGTCTTTTACAGTAGTTATAAACATTCGCAACTTGAGTGATCTTATTGGCACCAGCGGAGAACATCGGCCATATCCCCTGTGAGTGCGCTATGCACATATTAACGTTCTATAATTGGGTCAGTGCCACTTGAAACTTTGTTTTGGATGATAATTTCCTCCTCCAGGTTAGATGAACTTCATATTGTACAATTTGTCAGAGTCAGCAGTAGCCTATAGGCCTACATTGCCATGTCATTTTTGTTGTATTAAAAAAGATTCTGCTAATGTCTCCAGACATAAGGTGTAGTAGAATTGTATGAAATGTGTTTATAAACACAAAAAGAAAGGAGAAGATACGTATCTGACATAGCCCTACTCTATGCCACTACACACTCAGCCATGCATTGAACACTGCAGTCTTTTTTGAGAACAGTGATTATTATTAGTCTAAATTATGACTATCCAATCTACTCATCACCTTAGGCGTAGTACGCTATCTTACATACTGTAAGTCTGCAAATGCGATGATAGATGCGTCGAATGCTTTATTATAAAGGTACATTTTTATGGTGAACATTTACTTCCCCAAACTTGAAACTCACCCGCCGCTTATGGGAGACATATTCACTGGCTACAACTCATGCTGCTGTGATTCAGATAATAAATAAAAAAACATGGATGTTACACCACCATGCATCATTCAAGAGCATTAATTCTATTGATGTATAAAAGCCTGGCACTAACTTACACTCACCGTCATCAAGGTACATCTGATCCAGGTTCTCCTCCTTGACCGTGACATGTCCTCCAGGGAGGCTGGCTCTCTGCTCCTCTCCAGGGGGGCATCTCTGGGCCTCCATCCCCCCAGGGGAAGACCTGCCCTTGGGCACCACCTTGGGCACGTAGGGCTGCTGCTGGATCACCGTGGTGGGGTAATGCTGGGGGGAGTGGGCCGCGACGGGGGAGTGAGCTTGGGCTCCAGCCTGCTGAGGGTAGCCATCACAGTAGATGATGTGCTGCTGGTTGTCAGGCTGGAGAGGTGGAGGGTCGCCTCCCCTGAGCAGGTGTTGGTTGGTGGGAGAGAACTGGATGATGGAGGGGTGTTGGCCCTGGCCCCCTCCGTGTTGCTGCTGGGCTGGGGAGCCCGTGTGGACCAGGACAGAGCGGTGTGGGTCGGGCATCATCCCCATCCCTCCAGTCTGCTGGTAGAGCCCTCCGGGGCTGCCATTCAGACTCTTGCCCCCGCGGGAGTACACAATGGCTGGGCTCTGTTGCTGGAAGCGGGTGTCTGGGCCGGGGGTGGGGAGGCCGGATCTGACCTGCTGGCATGAGGCCATGCTGGAGACCAGGCCGTTGTCTGGGTGAATGATCCCCACAGGACTGTGGTGGTAGTAGGACTGCGGGGAAACACCTAGGATCTGGGGCATTGCGAAAGGATAGTCATCCACAGGCTCTGTTTTAATGGAGGGAACTGTTGGGGAGACAGAAGACAACAGAGATATGAGTGGGGGTTAAGTCATATTGCTTAAAGTAACTATAGTCTACTACACCAAGCATATCCAAGTGACATACTAATGACATGGAATAACATATTACTTGATATCATTCCTACATCATTGTATTGTTCTTTCAGAGCACCTAAAGTGGCACACATTACTCTCGTGATGGGTATTGCCTCCTTATTGCTGATGCTTATGGTACCTACCTGCCAGTGGGGTGAATGTGAAGTGCTGTGGCTGGCTGCGCTTCCTCTTCCCGTTGATGACATAGAAGTTCACTTTGGCAGGATGGCAGATAGACGGGTCACGATAGGAGGGGATTTCAACGAACAGCAGACTCTACAAAATGACATTGTTTTCAGTTCATATTAATCTGTCACATTATTATTTAAGATTATAATTGGAGTTGATAAAGTAGGACATTATTATTTTAAAACAAATGAGAAAAAAAACTAAGACAAACAATCCACACAGTATAATCAGTGACTGGTTTGACCACTGTTTCAGACATGGAGAAGTGGGCCATCTATGAAAGGACTGGTACTCACAGGCTGACATTTATCTTTGTCTACTGTTGTCTCTATCTCCCAAATCTGCTGTCCATCTGCAGAGACAGAGAAGGGATGGGTTGTTTCAGGTCAAATCAATAATTCAGGATATATTTCAACACCCTGTTGGACACAGCAAATACAGGAACACAGTACAGGGAGAGGTGATCTAAAACCAATGGTAAAATAATGTGTGCTACTGGTACTATTCTTTTGATTCGTTGCAAACATGATCAATTGCTAACCAATGAAAAATGTACTCTAACCAATAAAAATGAACTATCCCAGCTGTGTGTCTATTGTCTCTTCAACAGGTTGAGACAGTGTCATGAATTCCTCTGAAGCTGCCTCCTCTCCTTGTTCGGGCAGGCTTCAGCGTTCGTCATCACCGGCCTTCTAGCCTCTGCCGCTCCTCATCTCATCATTCCATTTGTTTTGTCTTGTTTATTACACACACCTGTATAAGTGTTCCCTCTGCCCCCTTGTCTTTGTGTGTGATTGTTTATTGTGGAGGTTAGTTTAGCTCGGTGGAGCTCCATGTATTTTGTTTCGCCGGGATATTTCACCCGTTTGCCTTGTTGTTTACCAGTGCGCCTGATTACGCACTGGAGTATTTGACGCATTGTTGCGTACCGCTGTGCCTTCGGAATAAACCCTTTAATTCTGTGATTTACCCTCCTGCGCCTGACTCCTTCCAAATCACCATGCCACAGACAATGCAGGAGGGGATTCTCCACATGTCTCAACGCCTAGTTTTACCCATCACATCACTGTCTGCCTGCCACTAACCCATAGGCCATATGATTAACATGGAGTTAGAGAAGGTTCTTTGTGTCACATAGATTATATCTATTTTCTAACCACTTCCCCTTCCACCATTCTGCTCACCTACAGCCAGAGACAACTATGCCTTCGGAAAGTATTCAGACCCCTTGACTTTTTCCACATTTTGTTAGGTTACAGCCTTATTCTAAAATTTATTCAATAGTTTTTTTCCCTCATCAATCTACACACAATACCCCATAATGACAAAGCAAAAACAGGTTTTTAGAAACTTTTGCAAATGTATGAAAAATACAAAAAACTATAACATTTACATAAGTATTCAGACCCTTTACTCAGTACTTTATTGAAGCACCTTTGGCAGCGATTACAGTCTCGAGTCTTCTTGGTTATGACGCTACAAGCTTGGCACACCTGTATTTGGGGAGTTTCTCCCATTCTTCTCTGCAGATCCTCTTAAGCTCTGTCAGGTTGGATGGGGAGCTTTGCTGCACAGCTATTTTCAGGTCTCTCCAGAGATGTTCGATCGGGTTCAAGTCCGGGCTCTGGCTGGGCCACTCAAGGACATTCAGAGACTTGTTCTGAAGACACTCCTGCGTTGTCCTGTTGGAAGGTGAAGCTTCACCCCACTCCGAGGTCCTGAGCACTCTGGAGCAGGTTTTCATCAAGGATCTCCCTGTACTCTGCTCCGTTCATCTTTGCCTCGATCCTGACTAGTGTCCTGGTCCCTGCCGCTGAAAAACATCCCCACAGCATGATGCTGCCACCACCATGCTTCACCGTAGGGATGGTGCCAGGTTTCCTCCAGACGTGACGCTTGGCATTCAGGCCAAAGAGTTCAATCTTGGTTTCATCAGACCAGAGAATCTTGTTTCTCATGGTCTGAGAGTCTTTAGGTGCCTTTCGGCAAACTCTGAGCGGGCTGTCATGTGCCTTTTACTGAGGAGTGGCTTCCGTCTGGCCACTCTACCATAAAGGCCTGATTGGTGGAGTGCTGCAGAGATGGTTGTCCTTCTGGAAGGTTCTCCCATCTCCACAGAGGAACTCTAGAGCTCTGTCAGAGTGACCATGGGGTTCTTGGTCACCTCCCTGACCAAGGCCCTTCTCCCCCGATTGCTCAGTTTGGCCGGGCGGCCAGCTCTAGGAAGAGTCTTGGTGGTTCCAAACTTCTTCCATTTAAGAATGATGGAGGCCACTGTGTTCTTGGGGACCTTCAATGCTGCAAATAAAATGTGGTACCCTTCCCCAGATCTGTGCCTCGACACAATCCTGTCTCGGAGCTCTACGGACAATTCCTTTGACCTCATGGCTTGGTTTTTGCTCTGACATGCACTGTCAACTGTGGGACCTTATATAGACGGGTGTGTGCCTTTCCAAATCATGTCAAATCAATTGAATTTACCACAGGGGGGAATTCCGGGGACTCTCCCAACAAATCACAAGGCAAACATGCCAGAACGTCATGATTCAAAACCTTTGCAGTGGTTTTAGTTGATAATAACTAGCCACTTGCGAAATGCACCCATTAAAAATAACTTCCGTGATCTCCATCTTGCTAGCTACTATTTTGTATTTTATTCAAGCGGATAAAGTAGTGGCGTACGCAGTGACGCAGTTCCTCTATGCCAAAGGAGTCCATCATTGAAACCAGACCCTAGTCACCGTGTTTCCTAGGGTCAGGTTTTTCGAGACTGAAACCTGTTTGGGTATGAAGAGATTTTAGAGGAGATACTACCTCACTTGTGTTATGTATACCAGTACTCTGATATTGTTACTTTTGACAACTGTCATACTGCAAGGCATTGCTTGAAACTCAAGGTTAGGTCTTGCTCAACAATGTAACATTTATGTGTTGAACATATTTTATGTGCTGGGAACCTCCCATCATAGGCTGCTATCTGCATTTAGCTGCTAACGTTTCATTTTATTTTCTTATTATATTGCGGTAATTTAAAACGGGAGAAAGATGATAGGTCAACAACTTACAGTGGGGAAAAAAAATATTTAGTCAGCCACCAATTGTGCAAGTTCTCCCACTTAAAAAGATGAGAGAGGCTTGTAATTTTCATCATAGGTACACGTCAATTATGACAGACAAAATGAGATTTTTTTTTCCAGAAAATCACATTGCAGGATTTTTTATGAATTTATTTGCAAATTATGGTGGAAAATAAGTATTTGGTCAATAACAAAAGTTTCTCAATACTTTGTTGTATACCCTTTGTTGGCAATGACACAGGTCAAACGTCTTCTGTAAGTCTTCACAAGGTTTTCACACACTGTTGCTGGTATTTTGGCCCATTCCTCCATGCAGATCTCCTCTAGAGCAGTGATGTTTTGGGGCTGTCGCTGGGCAACACGGACTTTCAACTCCCTCAAAAGATTTTCTATGGGGTTGAGATCTGGAGACTGGCTAGGCCACTCCAGGACCTTGAAATGCTTCTTATGAAGCCACTCCTTCATTGCCCGGGCGGTGTGTTTGGGATCATTGTCATGCTGAAAGACCCAGCCACGTTTAATCTTCAATGCCCTTGCTGATGGAAGGAGGTTTTCACTCAAAATCTCACGATACATGGCCCCATTCATTCTTTCCTTTACACGGATCAGTCGTCCTGGTCCCTTTGCAGAAAAACAGCCCCAAAGCATGATGTTTCCACCCTCATGCTTCACACTAGGTATGGTGTTCTTTGGATGCAACTCAGCATTCTTTGTCCTCCAAACACGACAAGTTGGTTTGGTTTCATCTGACCATATGACATTCTCCCAATCCTCTTTTGGATCATCCAAATGCACTCTAGCAAACTTCAGATGGGCCTGGACATGTACTGGCTTAAGCAGGGGGACACGTCTGGCACTGCAGGATTTGAGTCCCTGGCGGCGTAGTGTGTTACTGATGGTAGGCTTTGTTACTTTGGTCCCAGCTCTCTGCAGGTCATTCACTAGCTCCCCCTGTGTGGTTCTGGGATTTTTGCTCACAGTTCTTGTGATCATTTTGACCCCACGGGGTGAGATCTTGCGTGGAGCCCCAGATCGAGGGAGATTATCAGTGGTCTGTCTTCCATTTCCTAATAATTGCTCCCACAGTTGATTTCTTCAAACCAAGCTGCTTACCTATTGCAGATTCAGTCTTCCCAGCCTGGTGTAGGTCTACAATTTTGTTTCTGGTGTCCTTTGACAGCTCTTTGGTCTTGGCCATAGTGGAGTTTGGAGTGTGACTGTTTGAGGTTGTGGACAGGTGTCTTTTATACTGATGACAAGTTCAAACAGGTGCCATTAATACAGGTAACGAGTGGAGGACAGAGGAGCCTCTTAAAGAAGAAGTTACAGGTCTGTGAGAGCCAGAAATCTTGCTTGTTTGTAGGTGACCAAATACTTATTTTCCACCATAATTTGCAAATAAATTCATTAAAAATCCTACAATGTGATTTTCTGGATTTTTTTTCTCCATTTGTCTGTCATAGTTGACGTGTACCTATGATGAAAATTACAGGCCTCTCTCATCTTTTTAAGTGGGAGAACTTGCACAATTGGTGGCTGACTAAATACTTTTTTTCCCCACTGTACGTATTGGAAATGATGCTGATGATAAGTTCTTGTCACTAGGCAGGTTTCCATTGACAGGTTTATTTGACAAAAGCAACGTTGCAAAAGAAAACATTGCAACGTATTATGGAAACGGCAGATGTAGGAGATATTTTTTAAAGATCTAATACATTTTTATCAGTTCGACAAGGGTGGCATTGTATTTAGTCTAACTTTCTTTATCGCAACAAATTATTATGGAAATTGTGTTTTTTGAATAGATTATGATTGCTGAATACTGTAATTTTGAAGCTATGCGGGGCATGTGATGTTTTCAACTATAACGCTCCACTCCACATTTCATTTGAAATACCTACTGCTTGCAAAATCCATTTATTCAACAATAAAGATCATGTTTCTTTGCAGCACAAAGATTGTCTTGACTTTCAAGAATGCCTGAATTTTTTCACATTGGAAATTGAAGTTTCACCATCACATTTTTCAGATCATGGGCCTGCGTGAGTGCAAGTTACACTATGGCACGGACCGTGGCGATCAGTAGGCACATGAGAATTATTAGAATATGGCAAATATTAGTCAATTCTTGCATTCTATCCATGCTGGCTTTTGCGAGCTACCTGAGACATGAAAGATAGGACACTTTATGTTCCAAGATTAATTCCTCTCCAAAACACGCAAATAACCAACAAAAAAACATTGTTTTCAACATTTTCAACATTTATACTAGATTGACCACCTTTTCAAAATAAACAGCATACGTATTTTCTCAAATGGAAATAAATCCAGTATTCAGCAGCCTGATATCTTTTTAATGCTGTGTGGGAAACCCCATGGCAGACCGCAAATGAAACGCATATGGCTGAAATGAGTCAGCAGGAGAAAGGTGGATTCCATGAATCTTGCCAAGATTTATTTCTTTTATTTTTTCTCTTGTTTTCTGGTCAACTCGCTCCATTTCAGTACACAGTAACGACAGGTGATGAGTGCTGCTGTCTTGGTGTTTATATGTTTATATTTGTTTGCGTTTTGTTCCAAAACTACTCTACTACTCTACAGGATACCTCTAGTATTTTCTTTTATCTCTGGTAATTAGGAATGGAGGCAGTCAGAAAGAGTTGAGCAGGCCTAGCTTGGCTTCTGTCTGAACCACAAATAAAAACCTAGATGTGATTTATGGAAGGTGATTAACAAAACCTGGATGGCCAAGCTATGTATAACAAAACCTAGACAACATAACACAACAGCTAACCAGGAATAAATAGTTACATTAAAATAGTCCCTAGGTTGTGCATCTGGTTTAATAAGAGCTGATGTTATGGTTAGTGTTTGGGTGACGACTGCCAAAGTAAACCAAGTAGCTGCCGTAAGTGCTGTAGATGAATCAATGAGACTCTTCCCTGCGGACTCAGTATTGAGGATATTGAGTTGCAATTAGGGGACATAAATTGTACATCCTTTCTACACAGTGGCTGCGTTTACACAGGCAGCCCAGTTCTAATATTTTGCCCATTAATTGGCAAAATATCGGATCTGATTGGTCAAAGACCAATTAGTGGCTAAAGATCAGAATCGTCTGCTTGTGTAAATGCATCTAGACAGTCTGTGTTGAGACCGAACTCTGTGACTAACAACTTCCTAGGGCGGCAGGTAGCTTAGCGGTTAGAGCGTTGGGCCAGTGACCGAAAAGTTGCTGGTTCGAATACCTGAGCCGACAAGGTGAAAAATCTGTCAATGTGCCCTTGAGCAAGGCACTTAACCCTCATTTACTCCAGGGGTGCCGTACTTGTACGGCTGACCCTGTAAACCAACACACTGCACCTATCTGGTGTATGTGACAATAAAACATATTTGTTTACTATGACAAACAGAGTACATCTCTTAAGTACAGTATACAATCCTGTAAGCTGTCAGTGAAGAACATGAACAATCTGCACACGATACTAATACTGTCAGCTTGTTGAATAATTGGGTGAAGTCTAAAATAAACCTACAACAAAACCTTGCTGTGATAAGCTTCTTATCCTAAAAAGGACGCCAATATTTAGTATCAGGAGGAATCTGAATGTCATGCAAATATCTGAGCGGTGGGTGAGGAGGAAAGGTCAGGATTCAAATGACAGACAGAAAGTACGGTGGCCTTTACTATTACTCAGTCGCATTGATTCATACAGCAATATCTGACACCATCTGTGTTGTAATGGTGATTCTGCCCTTCCGTTGTACAAGTTAAGATCTTTAAATAGTTGTGTCACAAGGCCTAACTAAGACTGGATTGAGCAGACCAATAAGAATGCAGTAGTAGAATTATTGTACTGGGATGTCACAAGCAAGGCTAGTAGCTCATATTTATTTTCCTAATGTACTGAGGTATTTGAAGCTTGTCTACAGATGTGTGTACATACAACATGCAACAGAGGTCCTATTCTATGCACAACAAAAGAAACAGCATAATGATAACATAACACATGGATAACAGGCGGGGAGGAGAGGGCACAGTAGAGTGAGGCTTCTGCCTTATCTGATGGATCATGCAAACTATTGATAGGTTAAACGTAGCATGGCATAGCTATACATTAGTTTAAAAGTGGTGCTGCGGTAGTGAGTTTTGAAACTGTGTAGCTGAATATGTGGGGGCATGGTCAACAAGATAGCAGGGTTGTGGTCAATTCCATTTCAATTCCAGTAAATTCAGGAAGTACACTGAAATTCAAATTCCAATTCTCTTCAATGCTTTTCAATGAGGAAAATTTAGAATTGGAATTTGGTTTACTTTCTGAATTGAATGGAATTAAAATGGAATTGCAAAAGGCATGGGTAATTACTATACATCTGATTATCATGGCTGGTTTATGAGGGTAAATACTTTTGCAAACCTTCTGGCACATAATGCAAAAGGTTTTTCTTCAACAGAATCTGGCAACTGTCAGAAGAAAACTGCCAAACATTTTCCTGGAGCAAAATAACCGTAACATTTTAAATAGATGAGGCGGCACATCATACAGCATATGGACCATGCCACTATCATATCCTCCCTCCCCCAGAGGTGTTGACTGAATACTCACCATGGGTTTTCTCCATAAAGATGACTTTGGAGTCGGAGCTGAAGTTCTGTCCCGTCAAGATCATCTGCTGACCTCCCAGGACAGAGCAGCTATCCATGTCTTGTTTCTCCACCATTGGCAGCTCATGGGCCGACCGCTGGGCTGTGGGATGGAAGAGAGAACATGACGTTACACACTCTGTGGTACTGATAGGTCATGTTGGCGTAGTGGGTAGAGGACTGGCCGCCGGGCTGTAGGACAGGAGACGGAGCATAGTATTATTATGACGTGACGTTACACACTCTGTGGTAGGTCAGTTTGATCTCAGGTTGATGTTTGCTTTGAACTCACAAGGTAATTATTGACAGATTGCAATGAATGAGGCTTGTACCGACTTCACTTCAAAACCATGCTTCCTCATTGTGTATTTCAAATATTTGTCTAAATATTAGATTTGTGTAAACATTAATATGGGCCAATGACTTGGTACAGTACAGTACATTTGGTGCAGTGGGAGGATATGAATGAAGGTTGTAATGTAAATTGCGGCTAAACACTAGAGGCCTGGACACACAGAGCACATCATGGAAGTGGGACTCTGTCCAGTGGAAACAAATGACAGTGTGCAGTAACCTACAGTACAGAAAAGGGGCAGAGGGGAGGAGGGGGAAGGAATATGGAGGATGGACCTCTCCAACGCTATCATCATTACGCAATGGACCGTATGTTGGCATATGTTCAACAAACCCTGTGACCTGTCCGTGAAGTAGACGCTGAACGGCTACTGTACTGTATTCTCTCCCGGTACGGTAGATTTACGTTACAGCATTAAATGACTCAGCGCTTCTCTTGCTATCTATAGTGACTGATCTTATTCCTCTGGATCAACTGTCAGCAGTCTGAAGCTGATTCATGCCAGCTAGCCAGCTTGGGTTACAAAGGGGCCAAATTAATCACTTGGAATAAATGGGAAGGGCAGTTGCCCTCGTTTTAGCCGGTTCATGTTTACTACTAGAGAAGTTTGGCAATTACATTTAAAAACATTTAGTACACTAAATGAATGGCGTAGTTACTTCCTCAAGCTTATCGTCGTCGTCCTTAATTACTGAAATTCAATCTCCACTGAGGCTTGTGAAGTGACCTTTGGACAGTCTACTATACTGTGAGTAAGCAATGAGGATGATACCTGGAGGCTAGTCTCTTCAAACACATCACTGACGGACAGTTTCATTTGCTTATCGGCCATTTTGACCGATGTGCTGAGGGTGTTATAGTACGATTGTTCAAACACAACTTTGCACCTGATTTTTGGGGGGGTTCGGTGACTCCAGCACTACATAATCATGAACACACACATACATACACAGTGCTGAGGGTTGAGAGAATCAAATGAAATTTGTCACATGCACCAAATACAACAGGGAAAGGGAAAGTTGATACCTAGTCAGTTGTACAACTGAAAGCATTCAACCAAAATGTGACTTCTGCATTTAACCCAACCCCTCTGAATCAGACCACCACGGGGGGCTGCCTTAATCAACATCATAAGGCACCCAGGGAGCTGTTGTTGGGGCTTAACTGCCTTGCCTGCTCTGGGATTTGAACCAGCAACCTTTTGGTTAATAGCCCAACATGCTTAACCACTAGGCTACCTGCCGCCCAACAGGTTTAGACTTTACCGTGAAATGCCTACTTACGAGCCCTTTCCCAACAATGCAGAGTTCAAAAGTAAGAAAAATGTGCACACTAAAATAACAATAACGAGGCTATATATAAGGAGTACCAGTACCGAGTCAATGTGCAGGGGTACGAGGTAATTGAGGTAATATGTACATGTAGGTAGGGGTTAAAGTGACTAGGCAATCAGGATAGATAATAAACAGAGTAGCAGCAGCGTATGTGAAGAGTGTGAAAATGTGTCAATGTGTGAGTGAGCGTGTGTATGTGTATGTGTGAGTGTGGCGTCAATATGCGTGTGTGTGTGTTTTGTGTGTGTGAGCATATGTAGTCTGTGTGTGTGTGTGTGTGTGTGTGTGTGTGTTGGAGTGTCGGTGTAGTATGTGTGAGTGTGTGGGTAGAGTCCAGTGAGTGTGCATAGAGCCGGTGCAGGAGAGTCAGTGCAAATAAAAAGGGGGTCAAGCCTAATCATAAAAGAGGCTTTGTATGTCCGTGTGCCTGGACTCTCAGCACTACTCCCAGCTCATTTCAATTAGCAATGTTTACTATGTGTGTTACCTCTGGTTAATGTCAGTCCAATGAAAACAGGCAAGAAGAAACATAGGTGGAAATATACTGCACTGTGTAAAATCAACATATAAGCTCATGTTAAACCTAAGCCACCCTTTAGGACACATCTATAACAGGCTATAGAAGGTATAGACAGAATTATACATATAATAAAATCATAGAATCATAGAACATAGGTTTATGATATATAGAATGATATGTGTTGGATCTATAGTACTTACAGCACTCGATTGGATGGGAGGCCACTTGCAGTGAGATGTGTTGCCCATTGGGTTGGGGTATGTGGACACGGAACACCAGACGCACACGAGTGTTCTTCCGTCCGATGTCTGTCTCGCCCTTCCTCAGCTCAATGTCAGCATTCCTGAGCTTCAGGATCCCAGCACAGTCGATTCTGTGAGAAACACACCAATATGAACTACTGTAAATCCTGTACCGGTACACAAATGTTGTATTATGATTACAACTGATATGGCTAATTACATCAGACCTGTGTTCAATTAGTATGCTATTTTTCATTCAAATCCTTGATTGACCTTGCCTGGCACAATGGAACAAATGGAATAGTCTCATCAGTGCAAATCCATCCTGCCCATCTTGTGGCACTGGAGACAGGCTGAGTAAACATGCTGAAAAGTTAAATACTATCTGAACCCAGGTCTGCAAAGGACACTGCTTTGTATGGGTGGTGTTTGGCATGTGTCACTACTCTAGCTACTCTCACATTGCTTTCATGTTGTTCTTGGGCTCCAGAGGGATCTCCAGGACCTTGGTGGAGTTGATGATCTTCTCGTAGCTGGTGGTGGTGACCGTCTTGCCCGTGATGCGGTGAACCTGGTAGAAGGCGTGAGGCTTCAGGACCCTGTCATCTGCAGTCCCGATGAAGATATGAAGGCCCAGGGGCTCCTTACCCCTGTAGCCATGCAACTGGAAGAAACACCAGAGGAAACTCCAATAAAAAAAATGTTCACATGAAGTCAAGGGCGGCAGGTAGCTTAGTGGTTAAGAGCGTTGTGCCAGTCCCCGAGCCGACTAGGTGAAAAATCTGTCGATGTGCCCTTGAGCAAGGCACTTAACCCTAATTGCTCCTGTAAGTCGCTCTGGATAAGAGCGTCTGCTAAATGACTAAAATGTAAATGTCAAGATGTTCACACACTTTATAATGTGTCATTTTTCAATTTAAAGAACATTTCTACTCTGCCTGTTCTTTTTCACTCCTTATATACTGCACACACACTGGTAGGTACCCAGTGTTTTATTACATAGTTGAATATATATAATTATAGTTTTTTGTCATTATTCTGCCTATAGCTATATGTATTATTTTGCCAGTTTGCTGCTAACAGTTTTGGCTGAACATGAAGCTAACACCTTGGTAGACACACACTGCTGGAAACATTAGTATTCTCCAGTCCTCAACATTAGAATTCAGTCAGAGTCTCAATTTACTGTTGAGAGAATAGTAGAATACACAAGGTGCAATTTCAAAACTTTGTTGCAGCAGTTTTCCTCTTGTTATATGTCACTCACTGACAGTCACTCAATTAGCCCATATCAGTTAAAATAATTTAGATTGGTAAATGAGTCTGCTCTCTAGCCAGCTATCTACACTTGTAGTAATTTTTAACATTTAACATTTAAGTCATTTAGCAGACGCTCTTATCCAGAGCGACTTACAAATTGGTGCATTCAACTTAGGAAAGCCAGTGGGACAACCACATCTTGATCACAGTAAGCACACTTCTTCAAACATCATGGCCGAATTACCGACCGGCCCCCATTGATTTTGTTAGTCGCTCTCACTCAGATATCATATTAACCTGGCATAAGACATGGCAAAATGTGTAGAATTGCAGGAAATTTGCTATAAAACTTTTTTTTCTTTTTTTTCTACAAAGCAAACTTATTTGTTTACCTTTTGTTAATAAAATACATTTTCTGCTAACAGATAACTCAGTATGTATTAAATTACCGTTTTTAATCCCGGTGCTGAGTTTAGGTAAATGTTATTTGATAAAATATAGAATTTGGCCTTTACTACAATAGCCCATAGAATCGCATTGAATAACACATTCATAAATGGCAAAAAATACAGTCAAAAAATGTATCATATGGTATAAGGTTTTTAAGTGTCTGTCCTATATCTAGGAGATATAAAAAAGCTCAGTAAATATTTGTGCTTTTTTGGACACATATTTAACCCCTTATTTTTGTTGGCACAAAACTACCTCCATACTTCCATTCATTTGTGTGGGTTACATTCAGACAAGTCCTGTGACACTGGTGGGTGTCACGCCCTGGCTCTGGGGACTCTTAAATGTTGAGCCAGGGTGTGAATTTTCTATGTTTAGTTTTCTATGTTTTTGTTCTAGATCGTGTTGATCTATGTTGGCCAGGGTGGTTCCCAATCAGAGACAGCTGTAGCTTGTTGTCTCTGATTGGGGACCATACTTAGGCAGCCTGTTGGCACCAGTTAGTTTGTGGGATCTTGTTCCATAAAGGTTTGTGTTGTGTAACCTCAGGACTTCACGTATCGTTTTGTTGTTTTGTTCTTGTGTTGTGTACGAAATAAAATGTACGCTTATCACGCTGCGCCTTGGTCCGCCTCTTCCTGTAACGATCGTGACAGAAGATCCCACCTAAAGAGGACCAAGCAGCGTGTCCAGGAACAGACAGCCTGGACTTGGGAGGAGATCCTGGACGGGAAGGGATCCTGGACTTGGGAAGAGATTCAGGCCGGAATGGATCGCTGTCCTTGGGAGGAGACTGTGGAGGCGCGCTACAGAGAGGAGCAGTGGCAACGCAGAGGGTACCGGCCGAGGAGGAAGCCCGAGAGACAGCCCCAAGAAAAAAATTTTTGGGGGGCTAAAAGGGTGGTTGGCGGAGCCTAGAGTTAGAGCAGAGCCAACTCCCCGTACTCAGGCTAGGAAGCGTGAGACTGGGCAGGCTCCGTGTTATGCGGAGCCACGTACTGTGCCGCGATTGTTCCGGCACAGTCCTGTACTAGCACCACGCACGTGTCGTGCTAAGATGGGCATGCATCCAGGACAGGGTGTGCCGGCTCAACGCTCGTGGCCTCCACTACGCCTCCTCGGTCCCGTATATCCTGCGCCAGTGCCACGTGCTGTAGCGCCAGTACGAGTGCACAGCCCTGTACGTCCTGTGCTGATGCCTCACACATATTGTGTGGAAATAGGCATTCAGCCAGGACGGGTTGTGTCAGCTCTCCGCTCCAGACTTCCAGTCAGCCTCCACAGTCCGGCCCGGCCCGTTCCGGCTCCCCGCACCAAGCCAGTGGTGCGTGTTCCCAGTCCAGCCCGGCCTGTTCCTTCTCCCCGCACCAAGCCAGTGGTGCGTGTTCCCAGTCCAGCCCGGCCTGTTCCTGTCCCTCGCACCAAGCCAGTGGTGCGCGTCGCCAGCCCGGTCCGGCCTGTTCCTGTCCCTCGCACCAAGCCAGTGGTGCGCGTCGCCAGCCCGGTCCGGCCTGTTCCTGCCCCTCGCACCAAGCCAGTGGTGCGCGTCGCCAGCCCGGTCCGGCCTGTTCCTGCGCCCCGCACCAAGCCAGTGGTGCGCGTCGTCAGCCCGGTCCGGCCCGTTCCTGCTCCCTGCACCAAGCCAGTGGTGCGCATCGTCAGCCCGGTCCGGCCCGTTCCTGCTCCCCGCACCAAGCCAGTGGTGCGTGTGTCCAGTCCGGCACGGCCCGTGCCTGTTCCACCGGTGCCTGGTCCGGCACCGGTTAGCTGCTCCACTCCGGAGTCAGAGCAATCCGCTCCACCGGGGTCCGGTCCAACTCCAGTCAGCGGATCCACTCCGGAGCCAGAGCAATCCGCTCCACCGGTGAACAGTCCAGCTCCGGCCAGCGGCTCCAGTCCGGAGCCGGTAAGGTTTGGTCCACCGTCGTCGGGTCCAGCTCCAGTCAGCGGGACCAGACCAGGGGCGCAACGGGGAGGTGGAGAAAAGGTGGTGGTCACGCCCGGAGCCGGATCCGCCTCCGAGGCGGAATGCCCACCCGGCCCCTACCCTCTTGTGTTTGTGTGGCGCGGTCGCAGTCCGCGCCTTTGGGGGGGGGGTACTGTCACGCCCTGGCTCTGGGGACTCTTAAATGTTGAGCCAGGGTGTGGATTTTCTATGTTTAGTTTTCTATGTTTTTGTTCTAGATCGTGTTGATCTATGTTGGCCAGGGTGGTTCCCAATCAGAGACAGCTGTAGCTCGTTGTCTCTGATTGGGGACCATACTTAGGCAGCCTGTTGGCACCAGTTAGTTTGTGGGATCTTGTTCCATAAAGGTTTGTGTTGTGTAACCTCAGAACTTCACGTATCGTTTTGTTGTTTTGTTCGTGTGTTGTGTACGAAATAAAATGTACGCTTATCACGCTGCGCCTTGGTCCGTCTCTTCCTGTAACGATCGTGACAGTGGGGGTCGTAGAGCAAAACGGACAACACCATCATGTTCGTGAGAGTCTCCCCTTTCCATAGAGGGGTCATAACCGTTCGGACGCTACAGATGTTTTCGTGAGAAGACCGATTAGATTTTTGTCATGGTCTGACAAACACCGCTGAAGCTCGGCCAACTTCCACCGCAGATGTGGAAGGCCGACATAGACGGATGATATCTCTAGCTTAAACTGACGGATTGTGATGGCTATTTTTTTATTATTTTACTTAGATTGATGCATGGGTGCGTGAATAGCCTCTTAAGGATGAATGTGTAGCGGCTAATTGTATAGCTAATAGGCTATGTGTTTGTAGATCAACTGAGGTGAATGAAGCTAGAGCAACCAGTGTTATAATGAATGACTGGGGGCATTTTTGCTTGTTTTCTGCTGTTCTCCAAATAGCATTTTAGAGTTTTTAAATTGTATATAAATGCAGTAAATGAGCATGACCTTTCAACCCAAAAAAAATTGGACAGGCCTGTCGGAGGACACTAGTCACAGATGGTTTCTTTTTGTCCTAAAGTAATTAGAATTGAAAGGAATTACGTAGGAATAACTATCATTCACTGGCATGCTTGTTAGATGAGCAGAAAATGAGACTGCCAAGGCCTTAGCTTGGCCACATGAGCCAATGTTCCACGGACACTTTCAAGACAAAAGACAGAAAGCACGGTCTACGTTCATTCCAGTACTTCTCAAGTTTTTATACAGGGGAGGGGTCTGGAGAATTGAAGGTGGCAACATAGAAAATACATGTTTATAAAATGACGTAAAAATCCTATTCATAAATGTTTATCAAAATCAATACATACAATTGCAAATAAGCTGTAGGCCTAGTTGTCGCCAATGTTCAGCTAAATAATAAAAGTATGCTTGCAACCTTGTCAGACGTCTACACGTTACGTACTTCTCTTTTAACTCATACCACTAAAACCCCCTATGTATCTGTCACACACACATACACACACACGCACACACAGTGTCAAGCTCATGATTTTTCAGACAGATACTTTTAGTTGCAAGTTCACGCTTTGTGGTTTTTGCATGTTTCCTTCCAAGGTAGTCTCCGGTCTCTCCACTAATCTGCATCTGTGTGTGTGGTGGGTGTATATACACTGAGTGTACAAAACATTCCTAATATTGAGTTGCACCCCCTTTTGCCCTCAGAACAACCTCAATTCGTTGGGGCTTGGACTCCACAAGGTGTCGGAAACTATTGAGTGTGAAAAACCAAGCAGTGTTGCAGCTCTTGACACACTAAAACCTACTACCATACCCCGTTCAAAGGCTCTTAAATATTTTGTCTTGCCCATTCACCCTCTGAATGGCACACATACACAATCCATGTCTCAATTGTCTCAAGGCTTAAAAATCCTTATTTAACCTGTCTCCTCCCTTTCATCTACACTGATTGAAGTGGATTTAACAAGTGACATCAATAAGGGATCATAGCTTTCACCTGGATTCACCTGGTCAGTCTATGTCATGGAAAGAGTTCTTAATGTTTTGTAAACTCAGTGTATTTTGTGTGTTGTGAATTATTTCAAACCAAGTGTCATGGAAACATTTGTCTTCTTGCTAAGAAACACAGCACTGTGGTACCCCTCACAGCCCCATGTTTTCAACCACAAGCAGACTTCTGTTCATTTGGTCCTTGGTGGCCCCTTTACACACTGGTCCCATGACAGTGTCTCGGGAGACAGGATTGATGAGCTTTAAGTCAGGCATACTCATATGAAAAACAGAAATGTAAAGTTTCGTTACATTTTGACACAATTTATACATGCTGTATACAGCTAGTAGCATTTCTTGTGTAAGCTGAACTTAAAGCGCAGCTGAAGGCAAGAAACAACTTCTCTGATTGAAAACGGCCTATGTGGCATCAATATTGTTCAGAAACATTTATTCTAGTGTCAAAATTGACTACAAAGTGTAAATAGGATAATTTTTGTCATAAAGTCAGTTTCGTTCAAAACTAAGTTTTGTAAGTGAGTTCGTCATGACTTGAGGGTTGGGTTTTGATTTCGACAATGCTCACTTGCCCACTAACACAGGATACACAGCTGAGGCGATTGCACTCTATCCAATCCTACTGCAGAACACACAGATACTGAGACAGACTGCCCAGCAGCGCAGCGGATCGGACTTTGTTTACATAAGACATGACACACATTTTTTTACTTGAGAAATACTCTACCAGACACCTTAGCTAGATGTACAATTTCCCAACTAAACCTCCTCAGCAAAAACGTCTCAATTAATGATCAGATTTCATTAGTTATCTTAGATTCAGTCTGACTATTTTGAGGAAGTGATACTGGCTTTGTTCCTATGGTGTCTCATTGGGGACAAACATTAGTAACTGCCACATCGAACTACATCCCCAAGACTAAAATCTTGTTTTCTTAATGAGCAACAGAGAAATACATGTGGAATCGATGCGTTCAGACGCTCTTTCATAAAAGGCATTTCCACGTCTGTATATTTTAAGCAGGGCCTATAATTTTCAGTTCATATTTTAATGTTTCCACGGCAACGTCTTGAAAGCTTCCTTGTTGTTGTTGATTGTCAGAACCTGGCCTGGCGGAAATTAAGCATTTCTCACTTTCCATTTTCTGTCTCTCACGGTCAGCGAACTGTGCCTGGTGTTGTCCAATCATGTGGCTGGCTTCCTCCCAGTCCCAGACTCTGAACTCTCTCCACTTTACTTTTCCCAGTCCCCCTCGCTCTGACTCACTCATTGCAACCATGGCAACCGGCTTCTCAAATGGCCTGTTTAGTATTTGCAGCAGTATACTATTTTACTCACTGTGTCAGACTCAGCTACCTGTGTTCAACACCACGTATTCATGTCACTATAGTTTCTGCCTACATTCAACAGTTGTTAGTAGTTCCATGTAAACAAAGTCAGATCCGCTGCACTGCTGGGCAGTCTGGCTCACTGTCTGTGTGTTCTGCAGTAGGATTGGATAGAGTGCAATCGCCGCAGCTTTGTATCCGTGTTAGTGAGCAAGTGAGCATTGTCGAAATCAAAACCCAACCCTCAAGTCATGACGAACTCACTTACAAAACTTAGTTTTGACGAGACTGACTTTATGACCAAAATTATCCTATTTACACTTTGTAGTCAATTTTGACACTAGAATAAATGTTTCTGAACAATATCGATGCCACATAGGCCACTTTCTCTTAGATAAGTTATTTCTTGCCTTCAGTTGCGCTTTAAGTTCAGCTTACATTTCTGTTTTTCATTTTTGCATTCAGTATGCCTGACTAAAAGCTCACCACTCCTGTCTCCTGAGACCACTGTCATGAGACCAAATAAAAATAAATCTGCTTGTGGTTGAAAACATGGGGCTGTGAGGGGTACCGCAGTGCTGTGTTTCTTAGCAAGAAGACAAATGTTTTCATGACACTTGGTTTGAAATAATTCACAACACACAAAATACACTGAGTGTACAAAACATTAAGAACTCTTTCCATGACATAGACTGACCAGGTGAATCCAGGTGAAAGCTATGATCCCTTATTGATGTCACTTGTTAAATCCACTTCAATCAGTGTAGATGAAGGGCAGGAGACAGGTTAAGGAAGGATTTTTAAGCCTTGAGACAATTGAGACATGGATTGTGTATGTGTGCCATTCAGAGGGTGAATGGGCAAGACAAAATATTTAAGTGCCTTTGAACGGGGTATGGTAGTAGTTGCCAGGTGCACCGGTTTGAGTGTGTCAAGGACTGCAATGCTGATGGGTTTTTCACGCTCAACAGTTTCCTGTGTGTATCAAGAATGGTCCACCACCCAAAGGACATCCAGCCAACTTGACACAACTGTGGGAAGCATTGGAGTCAACATGGGCCAGCATCCCTGTGGAACGCTTTCGACACCTTGTAGTGCCCATGCCCCGACAAATTGAGGCTGTTCTGAGGGCGAAAGGGATATTCTTAATGTTTGGTATATTCAATGTATATTGTTCATAGAAAATTAAATAAATAATAGCCTAGAAGGGTTTTACTGTAGTAATGTCTGGAATTCAAGTATGGGAGTTGATGTGAGGATACAGTAGCTACCATGTGTAAGATATCAGTGCACGTTCTAACTAATTTCAGTGAGTGTGAAAGGCTGCTAGGGAAAAAGAGAGGAGGAGTGAGAGAGATAGGGAGAGATAGTGAGAGAAAGGATGAGGTAAAGGATGACAGATAGAACGTACACAGTACCACACAGTAGTCATTTTCCTAAGCCAGGCCCTGGGGCAGTAGAACAACATGCTATAATGATGACTAGGAAATACCATTACACGTAACAGGCCTTCCTACTCAGACTGTCCTACACTAAAAGGGGCTACCTAGAACCATAAAGGGTTATTCGCCTGTCCCTCTTTGGTTCTAGAATATATATTAACCTTTTTGGTTAAAGGTACTGTAGATTCCTTTCACTAAAGGGTTCCTAAAGGGTTCTTTGATGGTTCTTCATTGGGTGAAAAGGTTCTACATGGAACCAAAAAAGGTTCCCAAAAAGCATCTTATTTTCTAAGAGTGATACAGAGCCAGCAGCGTACCTGGACAACAGGATGACCTCCAGTGGGGGCTTTGACCGCTCCCCTGCTCCCCTCTGTCTCATAGTGGGCTCGGTGGTGAGGCTTGGGCTGCACGTCAACGTGGAGCTCGTACTGGTCTGTATGGCTGGGGACAGGCCATTCCAGAGGGGGCAGAGAAGACACTGGGATGCTACAGGAAATAAGAGTTGGAAAAAAGGGTTAATTTTCTGTGCAATGATTAGGCTACTTAAAGTGTGGTTCCTAAGGTGGTCATATAACTCATGTAATACAATGTAATAGACACTAAATCTGATTCATAATATGGGTGTGTCCCTGGCTATGCAGAAAGTAATCCAGTACTGGCCTACTAACTGCACCCTTTACCTATACAGTACAGGCTTCCTACACCATTCACCTGCAGAGGTTGGGGACCAGCTGCTTGGTCCAGATGGGAGGGATCACAAAGAAGGACTCCGCCCCAGTTTTACTCTTAACGTCCTGCTCACAGGACACCAGGTAGTTGACCTCCCTGTGGTTCTCTGGGTAGAGGGCGTACGCCTGGTTGGCCGTCTTCACTACCTTGGTGGGGATCAGATCAGGCTGGACAGTGCCGTAGCCGTTCATGGCCTCAGCCAGACTGTTGGGGGTCCCGTAGTGGGCACCTGCATTCTGTTGGGGGTGCTCCCCGTGGCCCCCGTGGGGGGAGGGACTGCGGGAGCGGATCCCGGTGATCAGGCTGGGGTTCCTGTACATGTCGTATGTGCGCTTGCCCTGTGGGGAGGTGGAGCGGGATCCTGGCCTGATGGATGGGGAGGGCGAACGGGGGCCGAGGCAGCCGTCCTCGGTGCGGGGGGAAGTTCCCGGGGAGGTGCGGGGGGAGCCGGTGTGGATGTTCTGGAAGCGGGGGCAGAGGTCTCCGGCCCCGGTCTGGCCACTACTAGGGGACACGCAGGGGGAGGCCCAGGGGGAGTAGCTCTCCGAGTGCCAGCTGGTGGAGGAGTTGCTGCTGGCTGGGCTCAGGCACAGGGGCTCGCGGTATGCCAGGCTGTCGTGGCCCGGGACGGTCAGAGTGGGCCGGGGGCTGATGTTCAGAGGGTGGTTCTGCAGGGAGTCTTGTCCATGGCTGTAGTGCTCACGCGACGGTGTGATCTCGATCCTGGGGCTCAGGGCGATGCCCCCAGGCCTAGTGTGGTCCAGGTAGTTTTTAGCCTCCAGGTGTTCATAACCAGAGAGGCTCTCTGGGTTGTGCTCGCTGCACTTGATGTCGTAGGGGGAAGCCTCCTCCAGGGGGTAGGCCAGACCAGATGCAGGACTGAGGACTCTCTGTGAGGAGAGATGTGGCTCATCTACTGAGAGGGAGATAGAGGACAAGGAAGAGAAATCATCAAAACAAAATATATTATTTATAAAGGGACTGTCCATAGTCTGTAAAATCATTTCTCACTAAAGATATGACGTTTTCTCAGAAATCACACATCTTTCTTTGGCTCCATGTTTGCAATACAGATCAGAGCCACATTAAATAGAAATTGCTAGCTGTGCCACTAGAGATCCTGGTTCGAATCCAGCCTCTGTCGTAGCCGGCCGCGACCGGGAGACCCATGGGCGGCGCACAATTGGCCCAGCGTCGTCCAGGGTAGGGGAGGAAATGGCAGGCAGGGATGTAGCTCAGTTGGTAGAGCATGGCGTTTGCAACGCCAGGGTTGTGGGTTCGATTCCCATGGGGGGCCAGTATGATTATTTAAAAAAATAAAATAATGTATGCACTCACTAACTGTAAGTCGCTCTGGATAAGAGCGTCTGCTAAATGACTAAAATGTAAAATGTAAATGTAAAATGATGTATTCTTTGAATTCAACAAACAACAATTTCAAATAATGTTGTTAATAATTTTTATTCAATCCCTTTGATCAGATTGATTAATAATCATAGAAAACTAAAGGCTTAGGTGTGGGAACTATTCACATCATCAAAAGGGTCCCCTTGTGAATGTTAGAATATTTGTAAACATTAACCCATTATGTACATAAAACAAATGACAGATGATGTTTTCCAGTTAGAACGTGTATTGAAACAAGCTAGCCATGATTATACAATGTATAACAAATGCAGGATCAATTGTTTCATTTTTGTCAAAAGTTTTAAATTTCCTTTTAGTAATGTTTACTAGAACTAGAAGTGGAAGGACAATAACATTCTGTCAAAATCACATCTCTGTTTATTTGTTTTCAGTGACGCCACTGCATTTAACGTTTTTGTCTGAAAAGTAATATAATGCACATAAAAAGTAAAGAAAAGCGCGCGGGAGACTTGACAAGCCATTGGACAAACCTTGATCTTCCCCGGGAAAGTTGTTGCAAGGTGGTTCATATTCAAACAAGTAATCAAACTCCAACTCATCTTGGCAGTTTACTTGATTCAGTTCCTCTTCCAACCCTAACTCACTAGGGTATTTTCCGTCGTAAAACGAGCTCATCTGTCTGACTTGAAACAATCTACTTATAATAAAAATGAAAGTAAGCAGATCGTTTGTAGAATCAATGATGTTACTCTGGCTGTTCTCTTCATCCACTAAGGCCTGCGATGTCAGAGGCCTTGATGCAGATGGATAGGCTATGATAGAATATTCACTTGCTCAATTGAAGCGATAATGCGTCCCTGATGCCTCAATAAAAATAAAAATAAACTGCGAAAAGAATGAGCAGCAAGTGCAACGTAATAGCAGCTAAGCTTCTTCTTTCAAACTAAACCGCATGTAGAGATAAGGCGTGTCTATTTTCATATCGTATCCCTAAATAAATACGATGCGAGGTGTCAAAGGCAGAGTGATCACGCCTCCTTATGATCACTGCAGGTGCACAACTTTATAGTGATAAGTTGCATCAGTGGTACAGTTGATGTGCTGCTGCCCCCGGGTGTCTGGCATCAAGCAATTACGCATGGCATATAGGGGTATCTTACTGTAACTTTGAATTCAAACTGTAAAGATATGCCCAATTAGAGTAGCCTATATAGCCTACAGTATGAACGGATGCTAGACTGGCTTACTGGATGAGCATTTTCATCAATTTTCACCCATCATCCCAGATGCTGTATCAATGAGTCAATAAATATTTAAATGATGAATTACTACAAATTCACTGGTATGGTCTATATGTTCTAATGAATGTATTACTAATAAACGTTTATACCAGACCCTTTATAAACTAAATTTGACAAAGGCATTTCTAAAGCTGGCATTGGTTCATTGCATGTAAATCCAATGGAAACAGCTTCAGGATTCGACTGTTTAGGTGGAAATGTTTCTAAGGCAGTACTGTAGACTAGGTTGAAGATACCCAGGTCAGGACAACCTAATAATTCCATGAGGAAGCTTTTGAAAATAAACAGATTCATGGGACCAATGTCGTTGCTAACTAGCATAGCTGGTCCCATTGTTTAGAATTCTTCCTCATGTATGCAAAGAGTTATGGGATATTAGAATCCTCTTGTAGACAGGCCCCCACCAGCTGTAAGGAACCACGAGGACAGTTAGTGTGTTGTACTCATGAAACAGCACAGAATGTACCTCTGTTCAAACTGCCCATAGGAATGGCACCTCCCAGGGTGCTCAGTCGGAACGTACTAAAAAACAACATTATGTGGCCCAAAACCAGGGCCCGCATTCATAAAGCATCTCAGATTAGGAGTGCTGATCTAGGATCAGTTTATCATTTTAGATTATAATAAATATGATTACAAGGACAAGGGGAACTGATCCTAGATTAGCACTCCTTCTCTGAGACGCTTTATGAATACGAGCCCTGATCTACATTGAATTGAGAGAGCCTGACTGCTGGTCCTGGATCTGTTTGTGCTGTGGCATGACAATGACCATAGGAGTTGGTAAAACAGCACCATTAGTTATAGAATCAGGCTAGATAAAGTTGACAGATTATTGTAATGTAAACCCTAGCCTGTGCTCCTTGGTGTCTAAACATGTTCTTTAGTAGAATACTTAATATTTGTGATAAACCTGACAGTGGAACAATGCCATTTGTAGTTATTATACCTGCAAACCCTAATTGATCAGCTATTACAGTACAACCATTGTTATAGCGTTGTAATAACACCATACCGCAATAGCTATATTGTGAATGTTTACAGCAGAAGTCTGAAATATGTGTGGGTCCTACTCCTAATTGCTCCTAGCAACAATAACTGAAAAAGAGTCCCATGCAAACATTAGGTGCACCCTAATAATGCCTTGCTAGCAAACATTTGTGAAATGGCTTATTACTGAAATACACATTTATATAATTTCTTATTTATTAATCCCAAACCAAACTGTTCAATAGCCATACACACCTTACCTGAAAGTATCTTGCCTTGGCATTGTCAACATACTGAACTCCCAAGGAAGCACTGAGCTTGCCTGCACATACTGTGTCAGTCACAATTAATAATGCAAATGCCATGATGTCCCGTCCCATCCCATAGGCTTTAGGTAACAGGTAACAATGTCTATCATAAATGTTTTACCATTATAGTATTATTAGGAATTTTGATACATTACTGCCATTTATAGAGTCATCAGTGTTTTATTTTAAGAATGATGTTAGCCAATAGGCTACTGGTAATACATGTAAACAATTAGAATTATAACCTGAAGCCTCATATTCATGTGACTACAATGACGTATAGCCTACCACTACAGTAGCCTACCTTACACGGCGCTATAGTGTTCCCGAATGGCTGTCTAGGGGGCATGTAATAGCTATTCATCGTGGTAGGCTATGGGCTGATCAACTCATGCTACAAAAAATTAGACAACTACAAAGTCAATAAACCTTATTTTGTGGAATATACAATGTAACATTACATTTACACACGTCCAGGACTAGGCTATTAGGCTACTCGAAAATCAATAGGGTTGATAAATTACCAGATGATCACAATTCAGCACGCGGCATCCATACCTTGATCCATCGACCTCATGTTGTGGTACTGTGCCAATCTCCAAGATTCTCTAAACATTTGAAATACAGTAAAAAATCTATCAAATAAAAAAATATTATCCTATCATAGCAGTAGAAACACACTCGCGTAAAAAGCTAAGTAAAAATGAAGTAATAGACATCCAATACTAGTTTATAAATTCAGAAACATGGAGCTAAAATAGACTCCAGCAAGCTATAGTCATGGTATGAACTTATTTTCCTTGCTCTGAGGATTACTTCAGTATCAGGAGCGGCTTCCTTCCCTGCTCTGGGTGTTTATAATGGTCCAATGCTGTAAAATAACGGGATTCCCTCAGTGTTTCCTCCTGTTTATGCGCTTCGCCATGGAAACCTGGAGCGGCTCCATCTCTCGGAGACTCAGGGCTTTCCTGCAAAGCCCACACTCAGGAATCCATGACGTCTCCGGCTCATGCGCCAAGGCATTTCTGAGCCTTCTCGCAGACAGCGGCACACAATAACTTCATTGTAGGGATGTGAAAAAATTACTGTAGGACAGAGGCTGAAAAAATGAAAACAGTATATACTATATACAGTACATTAATGTTTTAGGCTGCACAGTGTTAATGTTTGCTAGTCACTTTACTGTAACTTGTGCCTTTTAACTGAGTTGTAAAAATCAGCAGTAGTCCTGTAGGCTTTTGTCTTAATACTGTCTGGTTTTGAGCCTGTGGGATATCCTGCTGGAAATAAAATTAGGCTATTGGTTGGCTTGCTTGTCCTGTCGAACATGGAATCTTTTTGAGGAATTCTCAGTTTCCATCAATACAATTTTCGAATGGAAACTTCTAATGGCAATATAAGACAAAACAAGTTTGAAATCATAGACCGCTAAATTGACCCCAGCAAAACTTATTTAGGCATTTTGTTTTTTTGCACCTTATGTGTGGAATGATCTCCAATGCACTTTAAAATTGGAGGAATCGGTGCCTCTGGGACAGTTCAGATGGCTGTTAGGGGACCTTTTTACTAAAGAATATGTCTGTTTTTTATGAGTGTGTTTTGCTTTTAATGTATTGTTGTGTATAATAATGTGTATTTTTATGTGTATATGGATGTGTAGTTTAATGTGTGTATTGTATTTTGACGTGTATTGTGGTGCTAAACAGGGCTCATCTGGAAAAGAGACCTTGGTCTCAGCATTGACTCCCTGTCAAAATAAAGGTTAAATAAAATCTTGACCGATCAGTACATATTAAATGAATTTCACTTTTCATATATGAACAAGGCCCCACTATCCTGGCTTCTATGCCAATGGTCAACAATGGCATGTCATTGTTTGGATTGGATTTTGGCAACACAGTCAGCTCCTGGGGCTTATGCATCATCCTTTTATGGACTTTTGTTCCGTACATTTGCTACTGTAAGTCTATTCACACTCAATACACACACTGGCAATTAAACACTCAAGGTCTACCTGATGCATTTATCTTGGAAAGGTCTTTTTAAATCATGGGGACCGGGTAACCCAAACCAATAAATATTTCAAGAAAACCTAATTCAGCGCATTAACAAGTTCAGTGTGGTGCCCAGTGGAGGAAGCAGTGGAATGGGACATACTGAGAAGCCAAGGTAAACTTAACAGACATTAGTTACAACACCATGCAGGTCTGTATCAGGCCCTTACTCTCTCACACTTCAGTGGCTTGGTTCCTAGGCTACATAATACAAAGATAGCCATTTAGCCAATTTGATGTATTATTACCTTGTAACAGGATGCATCTCAGAGTATGTGGAACTTGTGAATGGATCAAGTACTGGATATGCAACCATTTTGTTTAAGTAAGAGGACATGGCCAATGTTGAGTTTATGGTTTTCAATTAACATAGGCCTTTCTTGCAGTTGTGATCATTCTTTCATATGGTTCATAGGCTACAGTAGTAGTTTATCGCTATGAGTGGACTTGCCACCATGTACATGAACTCCACCAATACTTTTATGGTCTCTGGGGCACTCTTTAGATTTTTGTCTTAGTAAGCCTATACAAAATATTTATAAGCAAATATATATTATCAAAGTGTTATAATACAGGTTTTTATATCTGACACATAGCCAAATGTAGCATAACCAAATGTATTTATTTTCCCACCATCAATATACAATGACTTGTGAGGACCTATGGAGGCATTCATGAAGCTTTTAAAGTTGTTGTTCATTTAAAGTGGAAATACCTTTATACCCAATGTGGTACGTTGTAGAGAATTAGGACACTGAGTGCTGACATCGAATTGAATCACATTTTATCTGTCACATGCTTCGTAAACATGTGTAGACTAACAGTGAAACGCTTACTTTTCCAAAAATGTTGAGTTAAAGATAAAGATGATATAAATAAGACTAATATAAAATAAAATAAAAGTCAATGACGTGAGCAGCAGAGCTATCCATAGGAAAATATGTGTACTTTAAGGGATAATCAGGGATCTGTTTCGAGTTCTGAAATATTTTTGGGTGCTAGACCCAGATTATCGAATTTAA